AGAAAGGGGAGTTTGACCCCGACGCGCCGGCTGCGTTGAGGCTCGCTCAGCTGTTGGGAAGGGACGCTACTCCACCGCAAAAGGCGGCTGTCAACCTGGCAGAAGCCGAGGAGTCAGACTCAGAGGACGAGGTCGGCGAATGCCAGCTGAGGCCTTCGTCGCTCCCAGAGGTTGACGTGCGCTTGGTAGGGCCACGGGCTACATGGAGGGCACACATACTGTCAGATGTGGTGCACCTCTTGAAGCAGACATCTTTCAGGTGCGGGCGGTTGTCAACCTCGAACTACAGAGAGGTTGGGCCAGAAGAAAATCTGCGCACCGTCGTGTTCTGTAAAGTTTGCGGTCAATCGGCCTAACGGGTCTTCACTGGCTGGGGTGAGTATCCCCCAATCGAGCTGGTGGGGCAAGGTCGGGTCCCAAACAGCTGGTGAGGTTCTCCTCTCAAGCATGCTGGTGGGGCAAGGTTGGAGCGACCTGGATCGGATTACCCATCAGCAGGGGAGAAAAGGTCCCCGCCTCCATTCGCATGGCGTCGTGTGTGCTTGAGTGTCGCTCCAGCACTTGACCTGCGCAGGGAGTTGGACTTAAGGTAGCCTCCGTTCCTTAGCCAGGTACTCCGCTAATGGCGCTGCTTGACTCCGAAGCCTCCTTCAAAGCCAGATGCGACGCGCTGGCGATGAAGGCGGACACCTTCTCCAACTTTCTGCTGCGCCTACAGCCCCAACCAGGGGAACGATGACGCCCTGTTCACCTACCTTGAGTCCCTCTTCGGTTCGAAACCCGCAGGAGGGGAAGCTGCCATCTTTCGCCGCCTCATGTTTGAAGCGCATGCAATGTCGCTCTCCGACCTGGAGGCCAATATCCAAAGAACCGCCGAAAGCGAGGCTAAAGTCTTACCCTCAGCTGAGCGGGTGGCCCGCTTAGAGAAACAACCCTCTCGCCTGGGCGGGCTCATCTTCAATGAGGACACGGAACCCAGCCACAAACTGGTAGATAAAGCGTGCCAACAGTTCGAGAACGGGATCATAGAGTACATCCACCCGGGAAAGTGTGCCTCCCGAAAGATGGAAGCAGACTCACACAAGCTCGAACAGACTTTCGTCATCGACCCTTCAACAGGGAACCTCAAGGGCTCCAAAAAGGAGACGGAGACCATGTGTCCAATCAATGATGGACTTCGCCTACCTGACGCCCTGCAGCGTCGGGCTGGCCTATGATCAGGCTGGCGTCTTTACATACCAAACGCTGCAGCTCTGGTCGCAGAAAATGTTGGCTGTCCTGCAGTCTGACCCGCCGGCTGGGTTCGCAAAATTCACCTTCCAGCAGTTGTTCGAGGCGGACAAGTTCCTCTTTGGCAGGATTGCAGAGGACACGCGCGCCAAACTGGAGCAAAACCTGCCGATGCCAGACTCGAACACTGGATGGTCCATCCAGAGGTAACTATGAGGCTCATCCCCTTGCCGCTAGGCAAAGCATCAAACAATCAACGTCCAACAGTGGAGGGGGAGCCACCTGCCAAAAGGCAGAAGAAGAAAGCGAAGAAGGACAAGAAGAATGCTGATGCCAACAAGGATACCCAAGCTGACAAAGGGAGGGAAGACAAGCCTAAGTTTCAGCTGCCAGAAGGCTGTGTTGCCAAGATGCCAGATGGGAAGCCACTCTGCTTCCTCTTCAGTCGCGGGGTGTGCAAGCGCTGCCCGCCCGGCAAGCGTTGCGATAAAGGCTATCATTTCTGCTGGCGTCAAGGATGCCACGGTCTACACCCAGGGCTCCAGTGCCCCAAGCTGCAGTGAATCAGTGATGTAACGCAGCCCCCCAAAGGGGGGCCACTACAAGGAGCACACCCGCCAATCTGCCTTGAAGTGTTTGCTGGCTGCGCTAAGTACAGTGTGGAACTTCACAAACTGGGATTCTTGGCAGCGCCTGTGGATGCTCCTTTCAATCCTCATCGCACGCGCAAATCGGTTTTCGCACTGGATCTCAGTGACACGGCGGGGCAAGCCACGCTGTTGAGCATGATCCAAGCCCTTCCAATTCGGTATATTCATTTTGCTTTACCTTGTGGGACTTTCAGTAGGGCCAGGGATAAGCCCCTACCCAAACATATTACGGATCGGGGTGTTAAATCACCCCCACCGCTGAGGGATGCCGCTCACTTATCAGGTCTCCCGCACCTGGCGCCCAAGGACTCCAGCAGAGTTCGTTCGGCAAACGAGCTGTGCGGCTTCGTGGTCTCTGTCCTCTACGCAATCTTCCCGGCTGGACAACCCGTGGTCATAAGCATCGAGAACCCCCTTAACTCCTGGCTTTGGCCATACCTCGATTCTCTGGTCAAGGCAATGGGAGACGATGCTTTTATGCAGTGGTGCGTCATCTTCGACCACTGCATGTTGGGGGGCACCAGGGACAAAGCAGCCCGCTGGCGAGGCACGCCAGGTGTGTTCTCCCACATGCAGATGCTACAAGGATCACCAACACGATTTTTGGGGCTTGGTCCGACACCAAGGCGTACTAACCTGGGCAACCAAGCTGGAGGCAGAATACCCCACTCTCCTCTGTCGCACCGCGGCAGCATGCCTACAACACCACTGGAAGTGGCAACCTCCGGTTTCCACTCCTGAACGAGCGGCTTTGGCGCTTTCTGGGAAACAAAAAGCTTCGTGCCCGCCGCTGCTGCCCGAGTACTCCTACACGTGCCGCCTCCAGCAAGTGCCTCCAGGTAGGGACTATAAGGTGCTGCGTTCACTGGCTGGTTCAGAAGGGGAAGTCTTCGAGGGAACGCAGGACGACATTCACTTGGACTCCGTCGTTGGCGTCTACGCCACACCACATGAGTTCCTCTATCAGGCCCAGTTCGTCCCTCATCCTCTCGATCAGGAAAGTGACACCGTCCATGACGTCCTTAAGAGAACCATCCATTGGAGGCTGACTACCTCCGAAGAGGAAGTCGTGAAATGGCGCGACAACTTCCTCTCCTCTTTTAGGAGACATGCCCAAGAAAATGAAGAAGCTGAGAAAGAGCTCCACGGCAACCTCCATCCCGAAGTGGAGGAGGTCGTCAAAGGTAAAAACATTCTCACCTGGAAGTGGGCCCTTTCCCAGCTGGGGTACGATGACGAGCAGGCCACTGCTTTCATGACGGACGGTGTTCCCATGGTTGGCAACCATGATGCCCCGCCAATTTATCCGGAGATCCTCAAACCAGCTAAGGAAGTGGTTGAGACTCTCGAGGCCACGGCAGGTTGGAGGAGACAAACGATTCTGTCCAAGAAGCCGATAAACACTGATCCTGAGGACCTCAGTCAGATATCTGTTCCAGGCGCTTCCTTATCTGGCAGAACGAGAAGGCGAGGGTTATCGACGACCCAAAGGAGTCCCAGATCAATGACTGCTTCGCAGTCCGGTCTAAGCTCGCCCTACAAGACACTGACTTTTGGATCAAAATCCTGGGGAAGGTCTCGCGATCGTTGGAAAGTGGCACCAGTCGACACGTCCTCAGTGACGGCGAGGTCCTCGAGGGAGCCATCCATCCCGACTCTCTGGCTTCCCCCTTTCTGGGGAGAGGGGTTGACCTCTCGAAGGCTTACAAACAAGTCCCGGTATCCCCAGGTTCCAAGAAGCTGATGGTCCTGGCGGTATGGAACGACAAGCGCTCTGACTACTCCTTCTTCTTGGTCAACTCCACCCCGTTCGGGGGGAGTGCGAGCGTCTATGGGTTCAACAGGATATCGAGAACCTTGTGGTGGTTGATGGTCCTCGGGCTGGGTTTGATAGCCACCACCTACTTCGATGATTTCCTGATTTTCGAGAATCAAAGGCTCGCGGATATGACGGAACTTTACCTGTCGAATCTGCTCGACCTCCTCAACTGGAAGCATGCAACAACGGGACCTAAGCCTTTCGACCAGACCTTCTCGATTCTTCGCTAAGGGTACCTTCCGAATCAGGCACAAACCTGGCCGTGTCGAAAAGATACTCGCCATGGTCAAAGAGGCCGAGCAGAAGGGCGGGTTGTCGAAACCTCAGGCAGCATCT